CCTAGAAAGGTCACACCCTAAAATAAAGGCCATACCTTAGGACTAAGTTCAAAACTGAAATAAACCTCCCCTAACAAATAAAGAAAACCAACCCTGGCAGGACCAACATGATCCACCAGGAATTTAACTGCCCACCAGAACAAAAGTCAACATGCTTTGCAGGATGACAGCATAATCCAGACTGCTTACAATATACCAACCACAAAGTTCAGCACGAGATTGAAAACTGCTGGACATGGAGAGAACTAGAAAATGTGGCCAATGATCAAGAAAACAAGTACTCACTAGAAACAGATCCCGGCATGGCTCAGATGCTTGGAATTTACACCCAGGGGCTTTAAAGCAGTGATTACAAACACATGAAGGGAATTTTTGCCATAAGTGAATGGATAGGGAATCCTAACAGAGAAATGGAAAAGAACTATCATGAAGAGTCAAGCGGAGATCGTAGAGCTAAAAAGTACAGTATCTGAAATTAAAAATTTACTGGATGGGTTTAACAGTTCATTAGAAACTGCTGAAGAAGGATTAGTAAACTTGAGGCTATACCAATAGAAATTACCCAATCTGAAGAACAGCAGGAGGAAAAAACTTTTTTTTTCTTTGAAGAGAGCATCAGTGACCTGTGGGACAATTCCAAGCAGTCTCTCATATATATAATTGGAGTCCTGAAGAGAGGAGAGAAATAATGGAATAAATATATATGTATATGTGTGTGTGTGTATATATATTTAAAGAAATAATGACAGGAAATTTCCCAAGAACCTCAACAAATCCCAAGATGATAAACACAAAGAGAATCACACCTAGGCACATCTTAGTCAAATTTCTGTAGTCAAAAGATAAAGAAAACACCTTAAAAGCAACCAAAGGAAAAAAGAAACTTCGCATATAGTAGAACAAGAGCCAGAATGACGACAGACTTGTTGCAGAAACAATGGAAGCCAGAAGACAGTGGAATGGAATCTTTAAAGCACTGAAAGAAAAAGTATCTAGTTAAAATATCCCTCAAACATGAGGGTGAAATTAAAGACATGGGAGATTCATCAGCAGCAGACCTGCCCTACGAGAAATGCTAAATGAAGTTGATAAAGTTGAAGAGAATTGACACCCAGTGAAAATTCTCTGCTGGAAGAAATGAAGAGCATATTAAAATACAAAAGAATATATTTGTTTCTTCTCTTAATTTCTTTGAACAAAGCTATCTAAACCAAAATTACTAACGTTGTACAAGGTGGCTTATTGCTTAATATATGGCAACAATATCACAAAGGATGGGGGTAAATGAAATTTACTGTTGCCTGGGTCTTACATTTTACATGAAGTGTTACTATATTAATGGAGGTAACTTAAGGATACATATTATAATCTGTACAGCAACCACTAAAAAGTAATATTAAAAAGGCATAGTTAAAAGGCCAAAAGAGGAATTAAAAATGAAACACTAAAAACATTCAATTAACCCAAAAGAAGGTAGGAAGGAAAAAACAGAGGCATGCAAACGTACAAACAGAACAACTAGAAAAACAGCAGCAGGAGGGTAGACGTGAAGATCGCACCAGTAGCCCCCACTGTCAGCCAGGTCAGCGGTCAGAGGCAAACGACTTACCCTGATCAACCAATTAATCAATCTATCATCAGTGCTCTCCTGTGCATGGCCAGGGCCTCAGGAACCCTCCTCCCCCTCCTCTCTTCCAAATGGCATACTCAGTCCTCAGCTCACCTGCCCATGTGCTTGCTGCCCTTCAGTGCCAGCCCACATCCACCTCCATACCACGGGAGGTTCTCTGTGAGAGTGAGACTTCCTGGGTTCCACACTGAGCTCTCCCTTGCCAGAATTCTAACCCACTTGCCACAGCATCCCCCTGCTCTGCCTTGCTCCACCAGCTGAAAGCAGAGAGCGAGTGAGCTACCCAGGGAGGGTGTTGCAGACTGCAGGCAGCATAGGGAGACTAAAATTAGTGGACTGGCAAGTGGACACAGGGTCCAGCCTCAGCAGGGAGGCTCTGGGCCTGGTAACTTTCAAGGACAGAGGCCAATGAGCTGGGTCCCCTCCAACCCACCAAAAATGAGTGGGAGGAATAATGGCTGCAGCCATGGGGGAGCAGGGAGGGGCAGGAAGCTGGGCAGGGCCGACCCTCCGGGACCCCAAGGAGAGAACTGGAGACCCAAGAACAGGGAATGGGAAAGAGGAGACCCAGCCCTCACGGCTGTGCCCTTCTGTACCCACCCTGCCTTCCTTCCTTGCAGGAAGCTGTGGACAACATTGTCTCTGCTCTGAAGGTCGATCCCGGGACTGTGGTCCCTGAGATCCGCTCTCTGAAGCTAGAAGCCCAGGCCCTCCTCACACAGGGCCTCTACTCCCACTGCCGGGCCCTCCTGAGCCGGCTGCCAGACACCAGGGCCCCCCTGGGGGACAAGGACAGCCAGGGCCTCCTTGCTGTGGGGGAGGCATTGATCAAAATCGATGCTGGAAAGCACAGCTGGCACATCCTCCTCACCGACATCCTCATTGCACTGGGTATGTCTCAGCCCGGGAGCAGGGAACGTGGGCATCTGTCCCTGAGCCTCTGACCTTCCATACTCTTTTCTGTAAAACAGAGGAGAAAGAGACCCCAGTATATAATAGCTTCTAAGGTCACGTCCACTCCAAGCCCCATGACCCGTGACCCTTCCCCCTATGTGGGGCCTGTGTGAGACTGACTCTCACTGTTCTTTACCTATGAGGCTCTTTGCACAGAGGAGAAACAAAAGAGGGATTTGGCGTTTCATAGAAAGATTCAAATGCTCAGGCCCCCTCATTCATCCATGCATTTATTCAACAGCTGTTTATTGAGCTCCCCTGGGACACCAGGCCCCAATATAGGTGGGACTGACTGAAGCCCACGTGTGCCAAGACATAGGTCTTTCCTGCAAATTTCTACATCACCCTGGTGATGTGGAGACCACTTCATCACTAATTTAGAAAGGGGAGCTGTCTCTGCAGCCTGCATTTGCCACCAAGAACTTCAAGGGGCCCCAGGGCAGCTTCCAACCAGTAGGCCCAGCCTTCCTCCAGGTGCTCAGGAGAGAAAACAAGTCCCTGTGGTGACCACATGAGGGGCTCAGAGCACTGCTGCTCCGCCGGGTCATGGGGGGGGCGGGGTACACCAGGTTAGCAGGTGAGTCCATGTGACCCGCATGGACTCATTGTGTGCCTCTGCTCCAGGCTCCTCTGGGCCAGCCCAGATCAGGAAAGGCTGTGGCAGCCCACAAGCTCTTGCACCCCCGTGCCCCAGCCTCACCTACCGACTGTCCTTCCTGAATCCTGGCAGGCAGTTATGAGGAGGCTGGTGCCCACCTGCTAAAAGCTCTGCATCCTGCCCCACCATCTGAGGCAGCCCGAGCCCGGCTGGGCCTGCTCCGGCTCAAGAAGGGAGATGTGCCAGCCGCTGCTCAGGACCTGCAGTGCCTAGCTGAGATGGACACCCACGACCTCGGCTTCCTGCTGCGTCTCCTGGAGGCCTCAGAGCGGCAGAGCCTCACCCAGGTGCACGCAGCACCCCACGGAGCCCCACCCGTCCCTTCCCAGCAGCACAAACACAAGACCCCTGGGCCCACTGCCTGGGGCAGCTCTTTACTCCCTGCTGTTGGGGTGATTTCAGTTGGGTGTGGGGTGGGGGGTGTAAGTAGGAGGCACCCAGGAATCCCCCACAACCCACTGACCTCTCGGCTTTTTTGCATGGGGCATGTAAGCCACAGGTGACTTGGGAGGGGGACCTCTCCTCAGAGTGGGGCTGAGCCAGCCAGGGCACCTTGCACTTGTAGGAAGCCCACCCCAGCGCCAGCAGAGGCCAGGTGGGGAGGGAGACTCAGAATGACGGCCTGCGTGACCTGGGGCAAGTACCGCGCCCCTTGTGCTGCCGCTTCTCCAGGCACCCGCGTCGGTCGACACGGGGGGAAAAACCACACTCGGTATCCAACGGAGGGGATTCCACAGAGGGGCTAGAAGCTAACAGAGGGGTAGGGGGCGGTTCGGTCACACAGAAGAAACAAAGGCTGACATAGCGTTATCAGAACCTAGAACTCGGAGGAGGGGCTTGGCTGGGGTCTCAGCTCTGAGGAGGGACTGCGGGGTGTCCGAGCCAAAAGGAAGGGGATGGACTGGGGTCCTTGAGCTGTGGGGTGGGACCCGGCGGGTCTCCGAGGTCACGGGGAGGGTCGGGGGGGGGTCTCCGAGGTC